CTGCCCCCCCCCCCCCTCCATACATTAAATCAAAACAAACACAAAATACATGCGGTTTTTGTATAGATGTATTTTTCATATTGTATTTGTTAACCATAAATGGCATTATAAAACCCCTACATTGCATTGTGGGATGTGGCATCCACTAAACCATAAAAGCTGCTGGAAAATGTTGGGGCTCCCGGGGTGCAGCAAAGGCAGTGAACTTGGTGACAACATCTGCAGACAGATGGTGACCACAAGTTCATTCATGTATATTTGTAGAAGGGTAGCAAGGTTCTTGAGTTTCTTTCTGGGAGTAACATTTTGTGCTGTACTAGAAATTCAGAGTTAGGACTTACCAACACATGGAAGCCCTCTCTCAGCGTTCTGTGACGCGCTCCCCAGCTTGACTGAGGAAACACAAAAGACTGAGGGAGTGGAGGAGAGGAGGGTCTTTTAAACAGATTAGGTGACGTGTTTCCTGTGTGTGGGGGAGGAGATTCCATCTCGTGATGCTGTCCTGGAAGACGTTATGGGAAATTAATGTTTAAAACGTGGACTTTGTGGACTAATTTAAAGTAAAATCAAGCTTGCCCGAATTATTGATTTGAAACTCCTTATTTCAGCTTAACTGGGAAATAAATTAAATATGGTTTTCATCTAGAAGCAGTCAAAATAGGATATCCATTTTCCTGCCGAAACTGGGAGTGTGTGTTTTTGCAGGAAACGGTTTCCAACAGGAACATCTGCACAGGAAGTGGCACAACACCTATCTCTGATCTCTGCCAAAAACTGCAGCAGGAACTGTAATTCAAGAAAAGACTTCCCAAATGAAAAAAAATACTAAGGGCTGCACATTCAATTTGATTATTTCTATCTGGGTAAAAGCAAACTGTCAGTTGCCATTAGAGGGCTCCTCAAAAAGTAAAACTCCTGATGCATCATGAGAAGATTTTTTCCCGTCCTCTACAAGATCTCATCAGGTGCATCAAAGCTACAAAATCAGCCTGAAGATGAATTCTGGCAGGAATAAAGAGACTTTAATGAATCTAATACAGGATTAAGCTATCATTAAGTGGATTATTTACCAAGCTGCCGAATGCAGCCGAGTGACTAACCGAGCTGAAGTGAGCCGAACGGCATTTGGCTATTCATTTCAGCCCTGTCCGGCTGATTTCAGCTCCCTTTTGTTCAGCTGAACATGCTCAGCACGTTCGGCTGGGCTTAAGTGAAGAACACGTTTGAGTCAGCCGATCCAACATCTGGATCAGCTGAGCCGAACCTCCGGCAGCTCACTTGCTGCAGTTCGGCCCTATTCTCATAGGAGTTGAACGGCATTAAGTGAATAGCAGAATGTTGCCGAACGCTCTGGTAGGAATGTAAGGAGGGACCCCAAGAAAAGAAAAAAAATGTGGGCCCCCCCCCCAAAAAAAAGTCAAGGCACTTTAGGGCTCCCAAACCCCACCCATACCAGGCCACATGCCCTCGGAAAAAGACCTTGTTCCTGTGCTGATGGGGACATGGACCTATTCCCCACAAGCACCCAATCAATAAAGGGTTAAAAGTAAATTTAAAAAAAAAAAAAGATTAATAAACAAATCCTTTAAATTGATTGAAAACTAAATTTTGACAAGTCCTTTAATAGAAAAATAAAAAAAAACACTAAAAATGAAAATAAAATAAATCCACTGCCATAATCCAAAAGGTCAACCATGATGTCGAGCGTTGTCAGTCATTCAGCTCCGCCCATTTGTCATTCAATGACAGGCCACTGTCCTCGCGTCATTTGAATGGGTGGAGCCGGCTGTGACGTCACGGCTGACTCGGCGCCCCATTTGTTTTGATTGACAGGCCCTGGACAAATGTTAGGCAGAGCTAGCAGTGATGTCACCGCTAGGTCCGCCCAATTGATTATATTTTTCCCGCATCGGTCAGAATGTTATTTTGCATCAGGAGTTTGTTGTGTGTGGAATGGTTGGCTGGGTTATTTTATTTAATTTTGTTGGGCCGTCGTTGTGGCGACGATGGATGTCGTGATTGACCTACGGATTAATTTTAAAACAATTTGTGTTTATTTTTTTAATTAAAACTTTATGAAATGGTGTACCACAATGCAAATAAGCCCCCCTGCCCACAGATCCCCACAACCAACAGGATAGGGCTTGTGGGGAATAGATACCTTTGTCCCCATCGGCATTGGGACAAGGTGCTTTTCCATGTCCCCGATCCCCCTCCCCCATTTTTGGGGGGTGTATTTCCCCATTAAATTTTGCGGGGAGACCGTTTTCCCCGCTTCGGCTGTAACCATACGCGTTTGGCTTGGCTGTTGGGCTTTCTAAATAGCTTGTACAGCAGCGAAGGGCTCCGGTGGCCGAAGTATTAGCTGAAGCTACGGCTATATCCTTTTGCTCTTTAGCGAATAACACTCTAAATGTATTTTGCATGCAGCTGACAAGTATCTGAATTTCTCTTCAAGCCGACGTCCAAGGACAAAAAAGAAAAATCTTTACCCTTGCAGTGGGTTCCCTGCCCCAATTCAAGAGTAAACTGCTAGGCTCCTAGTTCCCCCCTTCCACAGGCTTCCTCCGCTTTGTGTGACCAGTCACCGGAAGCCTCTTCCCTACAGTGCTGGACCGGTCACAGTTCTGACTTCATCCTGCACACTGCAGGGCCAATGTACAGTGCTGGCTGCCACAGCAGCAAGGAATAAGGCAAGTAGATTCATCATCCCCCAAACAAAACGAGCAGTTGACTCTTGCATGGACCCACTTCAAGGGTAACATTCTTCTGTCCTCAGAGGACAACTTTCATATAAGTCTCCTTAACACAGGAATGTGTAAAAGGCAGGAGGGGATAAGCAACCTTCTAAACTACCAGCAATTGTCAGAGCTTTGCATGATCAGAACTGCCTAGGTAGGCAGCAGTGACTTGGCAGCCTTCCCTAGTAAACTCAGGGCAGGTGCTCCATGTTTACTTTAGAGATGTTTAACCTCCTAGGCTGGAGGTTCTAGGTAAAGGGAGGAGGCCTTAAAGCTGTTGAGAAACAGACTAGAACCCAACTACAGTGCCCCTGCTATGAACCTTGAATTGCTCCTCAGCTACACAAGTTAGCATCTCCATATGGTTTAGTTTAAGATGCCCACTTTTGTGACAGTTTTATGCTAGACACCTGTACTGAATCAAGTCAATCAAATCCATTCACAATTTCATACATTTCTTTCATGGGTAAGATATCCTTTATGTAGGGGGTAAAAACATCTGGTCCCCATCTAAAAAGGTATCCGGTGGATGGCCATCTCCCACTGCACATATATATATACACACAGGCAAGGGGAAGATTTACATATATATTTAAATGAAAGAAAGCAGTTATAGTGGTTTGAAAGAAAACCAATAGGAGTAAAATGTCCAAACAAATCTCCCAGAAGCTTCATGGTCATTCTTGTGGTTACCTGGCACTTGGATAGCTATAACTCTCCCCAACAAGAGTTCAAAAATTGGAATGAGGTGGTTAGGTCAGATGGTTGTAATGAGCAGATCCATCAACCTCATCCCAAAATCTTTGCTCAAGAGTTTTACCACAAGTCACAAACTTACTCTTCTGGGGTTATAGATGGCATCAAACTCATCTCCAATACGACGGAGTTCACGTGCAATCCAGATTTCTGGCCGCAAGTCTACAATATTAGGATTTCTGGCAGCTGATAAAAGACAAAATGGACCAAGTAAATGATTTGTCAATTCATAATTAAATGCTTCAGCACAGGAGAGAAAAACAGTATTTAACCTTATTTATGTAAAATAAAAAAACAAATCCCGCAAGCATCAGGATAAATTCTCTTAAAGTGACATTAAGGGCAAAAGCCCCCCCATAGTGCCAATCTAAGGACTTACGTTAAATCATGCCTCTTAATCCGATCTTCTTTCCTGTAGTTTTTTGCTGTCCCTCCAGCGCTGGTGCGGGTCTCTGATCCAGTGCTGACTCCTCTGGCCTCCTGTTCTCTGATGTCCCACGGTGTCTATGCGGGTGCACGCTGCTCCATATACTTACCTTGTCTCTCCTCGTCTCCCGGCCAAACATCTGAACTGCGCATGCGCCCGCCCCAAGAGCCTTTACGGTCGCCCGATAAATTTTACGATGTTGGGACGAGAGCGCGCGGTGGAGACACAGGTAAGTATTAACCCTTTGAAAAAGTTGTTTTTTTTTTTTTAATCGTTTTGCATATATCTACTGCTTGCTAGCAGTAGATATATGCAAAAACATGCAAGGGTTTAATAACCCTTTAAGAAACCAACCTGTGTTCCCTAAGTTAAAGACCAAAAGATGGGTTATGGAGCACTTCAGAACATCAAGACATTTTTTTCCCCGCAGACACCTCGAAATTAAATTAGACCAATCATATTTACCTGCCTTTAGAGAAGGCCAAGATGTAGAAGATTTCTAGCCACCAGATTTTAGAATGATATAGGACTGAAACCAAAATGCTGATCACAGCCTTCAATGGAAGAGGTTATGACAGACATGCAAGATGCCTGGAGGTCTCTGGCTTTAATACTTTGAGTCACTGACCTGGAATAAGTATGCAAGTGAAGATTTAGCTTCTGCCCAGCATACATTTACCAGATTAAAATACTGTTAAAACGGGAGATTAGCTTAACAGCCAGGTAACTAGCATTTTCAGGATGTTAACTTGCTCCGCTCTCCAGAAAACACATGCACAACCTTTCCTTCGCTGGCTCACTGCTCCATTCAGCCACCTGGGGCAAGCAAATAAAGCTTTATGCAAGCTCCAAGTGACTACTTGGAGTTGGCTCAGAGCTTAAACAAAAACTCTCCACACCTCGCCAAGAGATAGTGCTAGGTCAATCACCAGGTGCAAGAGAGGAACATGAGTGAGCTTCATGCTCCTCCATATCTGGAATATTGTGCATTTTCCCTACACCCAGCACCTAAATGGATCATTGAAAAGTTTACAAGTAAAGGAGAGTATAGGCGGTTAGGGAGTGGGCATTAACACAGGCTGTCCTTAGGACACCAGAGGTGTGACAAAATGGTTTTAATGTGTTGATAGGAGATAACACAATGTAAACAGTTTGCACAGTTTATATGATCTATATAAAATCTACTATGGCACCGTGCAAAGCGATACAAAGCTGGGTAATACAGGCGATGTGAATACATGAAGTATTTGCAGTGCCAAGTACAGTCATAACAGAAATGTGATTCAGAAGAGCGCTTATACAAGCTTACATATAGAGATGTAAATGTTCAAGAACAAAGTGCTCATTTTAGTCAGTAGCACAGGAAAACCCAAACACGTCTGGCACTGTACCATTTTATTTTCCATTCAGACTGGACCAAAGGCCACAGTCAGTTGGCTGGCGTTAGCTTGTCTGATGTGTTGATGGACCCGAGCTGACCAGTCTCGGAGAAGCACATGACACCCGCACCTCATTTAACCTCAGTTACTGGCAGCCAATATTCATTCAGTTAAGCTCTTATGATGCATAGTGAAACATTCTGAAAGTTGAGAAAGCAATTCAGATGCAGGGAAAGGAAGGGGAGAGGAAAAAAAAAAAACCCTGTACATGAGCTCAGCAGAGCGAGGAAACCCTCCCAATAATTTATACTGTTCACTCATCTTTCTAGTGCCAAAACTCCCATCAAAACATCCTTTCAGAGCCCTGGAATTAAAAGCAATCAATATTATCCAACCCTGCAGCAAGCAGACGCCTCAGTGCTACATTAGTCGGGTATTAGCGAAAAGCAGTAATTCAGGAAATTAAAGTCGTGGTTAAGTGGTTGATAGTGAAAATCAATCTGAGGCTTTCGGAGAGGACTTTCTGTGGTACGACCAACAAGTAGAGGCAAAGGAACATCAAAGCATGCCTCTGCAGAGGTTACAAAAAGCAACAGGTTGTTTTTTTATTTGTTTAGGGGTATTTTGTTTTTGCAGCTTAAACCCGCTGTTCGTAGCTTGTGGTATTGTTCAGAGAATCCCCAGTATAAAACTGTATATTGTTTCTGCTCAGATTTTCATGGATGCATCAGAACAGCTCACAAAAGGACGAGTTTCAGGAGGCACATAACCAGTGCACCCTACAAACCTAAAACACCTTTGGGAAATAATCCTATCATATCAACTGAAGCTCTGGTTTATTCCTATCACCTCAGAAGCCAATTCTGTGAATATGAGCAGCACAACATACTAGTTCTGTGGCAGTAAAAATGTACATAATCAGCATTGGAAGTGACATGAGTTCCCTGAAATTAGTATTCAGGCTGAGAGTAGGCTTCTAATTAAATTGACTTTTACCTGCATTTTAGCAACAATGTGACATCCTTCAAAATAGGACATCACAACCTCATTAGAAGTACCAGTGTGCCCATTTGTTGAATGCTATAAATACAGAAAAAAAACCCCTAAATGTTTATATGTGTGTAAAAAAAACTGTGTTGGTATATTAAGTACTATTCTTTGTCCTGGTGGAGGTCGCTTTCTTTATTCTGAGGGTCAGGTAAACGCCAATCTGGGAAGTGGATGGGAGGTGCAGGTAAACCCAATTACTCTGAGAACAGGATGTTGATTGGCTTTGGAAAATAATGTGCATCAGCAGAAGAGACCATAGAGGGAAAGGTCCATCTACAAATGGGAAGGCTTTACTCCAGAGGTCCTTGTTAAACCTTACACCAAATACTGCCAGAAACTAGGGAGACTGGGGCCGTTTTTTAAGGTTGTCTTGGTGTCCAACCTACTTTGACAAGGAGTTGGAGACTGAACATAGGAAGGAAGGGCGTGCCACAACGACCTACCTCTACTTCCTGCTTTTTAATCTTAAGCGTGATCAATAGTTATATGTACATGTCAAGCAACACGGCACTTGCTGGGACACATGACAAAACCCTCGATTTGGCAGTCGTATTTTCCATCACAACTCTGTTCCCCTATATTGCTTCATTTAGTTGTGTATTTATTAAAGTAATCTTTGCCTAGCCAAACACAAAGCATTTAAAGCTCATTACAAAAGAGTGCTTGTGGATAGAGGTTGTATGACAAAACACCAAATAAAATTTCAACTTATGGTCAATAAAAAAACAACAAAAACCACCACCACCAACTGTAATGGATATCATACATTTAAAAAAAGGTCAAGTTCACTTTGCCACAAAATGTGAGAAAATGAACCTACCCAGAGCATTCCACCTGCAGTTTAAAAGTATGAATCACAGGGGCAAGCAGAAGTGGTGGAATGATCTGGGTAAGCTCATGTCTCACATTTTGAGTGAAAGTGAACTTACCCTTTATTAGCTTTACAAATACGAGACTACATCCATAGACTTGCACAGAGAGGGGAAGCACAGTCACAGTACATAGCTACTTAATCGGACGCAGTGGCTGCTTTTTGAGCAGAAATCTCATACATCTCACACTTTACAACATCTACCTAACTCACACAACCTACTTTCCAGATATGAGAAATAGGGATACCTTCAAGTACACACTATGAAGGAAAAGGACACATCTGTACTATGAACCAAGAAGAACTGATGCACAAAAAAATGATTAAAACCACTGACTTTTTACCACCACTGTCCTACGAACGTTTGAAAATAAAAGATGCAATATATCAGGGGTAGGCAACCTCGGCACTCAAGCTGTGCGGAAACCAACTCCCATCATAGCTCAGCCTCTGGGAGTCATGCCTGTGGCTGTCAGTCTTGCAATGCATCATGGGACTTGTAGTTTCACCACAGCTGGAGTGACTAGGGTACCGAAACACGTGGTGCCCATACTCAGGCATTTTCAGCAGTATAATGCAGGTAAAACTGCAAATTATAAGATCTGTGCTTTTATAGTCAGTGGCACCTGAACAGCATAATGGATATGAAGAGATATCAAGTCACAGTGCCATTAACTTCAGGGTTTTCCTTTTCATATTTGTTTGAATAAATCTACATGCAATGCATGAAAAATTAAACTAGTACAGCCCCCTCCCACCTTGCATGTCTTAGTCCTCCTCCTTGGGAGCATCTAATCTCTTGCTGGCCCAGCTCCTACACCACTTCCTATGTAACCTTTTATGTAGCGGTCAGGGGAGGAGTGAAGGGGCTATAGAGTGTCACTCGAATGACAGCTCGGAGTCTGCTGGAGCTACCATGTCACATCAAAGATGGTGGAACCCAAACAGCCATCTCAGGACATTTGGATGTCTACACAAGGGAAGCCTTTACAGATAAATAACATGCCTAAAATATGTAAAAACACAGCTATGATCCAATAGGAAGATTTTTGTTAAAATGGTCTGCTGACAGGGCCTCTTTACACTAAAAGATAGACAACTGAGAAGGGAGGGAGAAGGATCTGCTACCAAGAAAACAGAAAAAAGGGACAGTTGGAAGCTATGCTAAATAATGTCCGACCTCTGAAATCCTCTAATCACAGCCAAGTGGAGTTAGCAGGGCAATTCTAGTAAGTAGATCTAAATACATTTCCTTGGCATCAGTGGGTAATAAGAGCTGCAAAAGGTTTTTTCTCTCTGCACGTGTGCGTGACAAGCCCAGGCAGTTACATAAATTCAGGGACCTTGCTCAGAAACAGCTGCTAGACAAGGAACACCACAAGTAATAAATCTTCATGAGTAGCTGCCAGCAGCTGTACCACCCCATATACCCCTCCTCAACAAGAACAAAAGTTACTCT